ATTCTAGAAAACGTAATCAAATATCAACTTGTTGCATGAAATCATAACATATCAGGTGAGGAGCAGATCGAGTGAAATGAGGGGACTATAATTTATCTTATTTGGTATTAGTATTTTAGAAGTGTTTGTCATATATAGAGTATGCCTCCTCGTGACCTAAAACAAACATGTCTGGACATCATTTAAGGAAATCATATTATTCTATAAAAGCCAATCCACGAATCATGGATCCTTTCAACAAAATAATTCTTAGGCTGCACATTGTTTCCCCCCTTTCATGGCAGTTCTTTCTATGTGTTAGACATGTTGTATCGTATCGTATTGTTATTTTAAATATTATAATATTTATTTTGATTATTATTTAAATTTTATTATATTGTACCGTATAAAACATAAGAGAATATTCGACATAGGACGACCTAACATAGCATACAAACTTATACATGTGATATACAGGCCTATAAAACCGAAATGATCATTTGTACACTCAAAATATAGGCCGACAAGACCATGCAATCATCCATATACATGACATATTTGTCTATAAGCCTCTAAGAGTACATAGACATCATAAAGGTCGGGACAGGGCACGCCATACCAATCAATACATGTCAAAAATATACTGACCAAATAGGCAACTTCGGAGCAAATGGAGTGCACCAAAACCTTCCGTTGAGCTGATATATATAAGAGGACCGTCAACCTGTCTATCGGGACCTGCAGGCATGAAACACAACGTCCCCCGGCAAAAGAGACGCCAATACGAATAAAGTATCGAGTATGTAAGTAGTGAAGGAAGAGACACGTGAGAAGCACATGAGTTGTTAGTTAGTTATAATTAATTTACGGAAGGGTAGTTAGAAGTTAGTTAGCTCGTTTTCTTCTTAATCTTTTAGCTTAATGATGTAGCTGTAGATCTCAGATGTGCATATATATACATAGCTAGACTTAGAATTAGATCATTCTAGAAAAGAAAAAATCTGTTATTTTCTCTCTTTCATAGATTGAGAGCTTTCTTCTAGAAACTTCATTTTCGCCATTAGAGCTCAAGCTCGAGCTCAACTTGATCTTCATTAGTAAGGCATGAAAAACAGTATATAAAAGACATAAAACAAACTTGGAATAAAAGACTCAAACCTGTAAGTTCACTGAACCATGGAAACATAACGACAAAAACTGCCGGCGGAACATATTGTAGTATTCCCATTTCCCAGGACCTTCTAGCAATTCAAAATATTAGTTGGTAGAAGGGTACAACGATCAAGTTTTTATATCCTATCCTTGCCTAAAAGAAACCTGCCTTAAGTATTGTTTAAAGAGAGAAGAGAGAAAACTTGCCATTGATCTGAGTACATAATATGACAGGACATTGAGCTATTATAAAATTAACAATCTTTAATATTCATAATGATTCTTTAAACTTTCAATGTAATATTATATAATACTCTAATCATCAATAACTAAGAATTATAATAGTAACAATCTTTAAGAATATTCTTAACAGTCAGTGGTATAATTATAACATTAATGTCACCACCCAAATCTCCTTTCATAAGATGTAGTGCCGGCACCTAGTATCTAAGACTAGGTAAGCCTAACAGTTGCGGAATAACTGAAATAATAATAGAAATAACGGCTAAACCTTAACAACAAACATGTATATATAGTATATATATATATATANAGTAAAATCAACAACTCTGACTATAAACATCTCTCAAAGACCCGGTAGTCACAAGTCACAAGCTCTAAAGAATTGTTCTAACTGTCTATAAATTAGTATTTAGGAAAATAAAGAAGAAACAACATAAAAGGATAGAGGGGGACTCTGATGTCTGCGGACGCTGGCAGATATACCTTGAAGTCTCTGTAGCAGCAACACGACCTCTACTAATAGCAGGGCTAGTAGGAGGTACTTGGGTCTGCACGCAAAACATGTGCAGAAGAGTAGCATGAGTACACCACAATGGTACCCAGTAAGTGCCAAGCCTAACCTCGGTAGAGTAGTGACGAGGTCAGGTCGGGGCCCTACTAGGATATAATAATTAAAGCAGAAGATATAATAATATAGTGAAAGACTGAGAATTTAACAATGAGAAATATAGAAGAGGAAACTACACAGCAAACTGGGACAAACAACAGGGGCACTCCTGAGGTACCGCCGCGTAGTCCCGAAAGTAAATATGCAATGGGAGATCTCCTAGGTACCGCCTCGTAATCCCAAAAGTAAATATGCAATAGGGGATCTCCTGAGGTACCGTTTCATAGTCCCAAAAGTAAACACACAGCTCGAAACTGATGGAGACAACAATTAACAACAAGAGATCCTAAAGTTTAAGACTAAATACAAATCAAGGAAAAAGCAGGAATTCAACTAAGCATGTTGCACAGATTTTAAATAAGCATTTAAGACACGTAAACATACGATATTAGGCTAAACAGGATAACTATACATGCTAGGATGACTCATTTGAGATATAACGGGTTACTGTTCTATAAAAATCAGATTTTCAATAATTAGCCCATGTACGCACTCGTCACCTAGTGTACACGACACTCACATATCACAGAATTGTCACAATAGTACTAAATCCTAAGGGGTTCCCCCCCCCCCCCC